ATTTTATTAGAGTATTAGTTTTAAAGAAATTTGTTTGTGTTTTCTTGTTTTGTTTCATAAATACATATAATTGTTTTTTAATAATTATACTATTAACAAAATTGCACTGACACGCCAAAGTTGCACGGTTTAAAAAAGACTTTAGTCAAAATAATCATTTTTTATAAGTTTTTTATAATTTGTTGAATAATCGTGTTTTTAAACAAATAAAATTGAACTCGTTTTAAATCAATAAATTTGTGTTTTAACGTTGTATGTACTCAATATTTGTTTTAGATTGTTTATTGATTCACTTTTGTTAGTATCAATTTTTTCAAGTTGTTCCAAAATTAGTTTATTTTGTTCAGCTGTGAAGATATTTTTATTGTTAATCGCACTTTTAGCGTTAAATATACCCCAAAATAGCTTCGAAAAGTCTTTCCATTCAGTGTCATATAAATTTTCAAATTCGTTATAATTTTGAATAGAAATACACCTGTCCGAGTACACCACATCCAATTCAATTGACTCGATGGTGATTTTTTTCGCGTCAACACCAACATCTTTTATATCAAGAATTTTACTCTTCGATCGTCCAAAGTACTTTGTCTGAAATATTCTTGAGTCTCCGCTCTCAAAGTTCAAATATTTAGCCCCATCCAAATTAACAATAAAATTGCAAGAGAAGACTTGTAACTTCCGTGTGTTGTCAATGATCTGGTCGAGTACATAACCGCCTCCAGTTGCACACGAAAATACTGAATCATATTTATAACACACATTAAACATTGATTTTATAGCTTTAACAATAACATTTAAATAATATCCTTTACCAAACAACGTCACATATTCAATGCTTTTTGAGTCAATTCCTCCAAGTGTTTTTGTTAAAAATGATTTCAATGTATTGATCTCTTTCTCAACAAATGTTTCAAAGTCTTTTGCGTTGATTTTAATTATACATTCGTCCCCAAAATCCACTATAACAAGTGGAGAGTCGTTACACAAATCTTTAGTTGCAGACTTATAAAATCTTTCAAAATCAAATTTTGAATATTCTGTGATGTTGTTCTTCTTCAACTCACCAATTAAAAAAAGTCGCAATTGATTCATAAATATGCTTCCACCTTGATCCAATTCGTTGACTAATAAAATTGTTGTTTGCGCTTCTTCAACTTTAATCAGAGAAAAAGTCGTCTTATTCACTCCAAAGTCGAGTACACCATACATATTGTGTTTGTTACTACACTCTTCAAAAGCTATTTCCATTGATAAAGAAACTATATTGGGAACTATAGTTACGTAATATCCAATTTGTTTTCCGGCTCGAATAAATGCCGTTTTGTAGCATTCAGGAGTTGATTCCCGTAGAGAAATGATTGCAAAAACACTGATTTGTAAGTTGTT